GCTGGCTGTGGAAACTGCACGCTGTCGCTGGCGTGCCCACACCGTTTGCGTTCCTTCGGGACTGAACGTGCCAGTCAGTGGGGTCAGTGCGCTCCGTGACCACCGCAAGCCGGGAAGCTGGTGAGGTGCCCAGTGCCGGGGCGTGGCTGCCATCAGGAGGCCGGGTCGGCCGGGTCCCCCTCGTCGGGCTCTTGGCACGTGCAGTCCTGCAGGGTCCTTGAGAGGAGCCGGCCCTGAGCGGGGAAACAGCCAAAGCCAGCCTATCCGAGCCTCCCAGAGGCCGCCGGGTTCCTGTGCAGGGAACCAGGACTCACTGACAAGACGGGATGAGGCAGGCCCAGCCTGCTCCGAGGAGCCCGGTCTGCGCGTGCACGCCCGCCTCCCTGGTAATAAAGAGCTGGCATTTTTCTTAGCACCGTGTTTTCCTTCTCGCCTGGGGAGGAGTGGTCTTAAAGACCGTCTGAATGGGCAGCTTTTCCAGAGTGGATCTTCCTGAGAGTCATCCGCTCTAACCCAGTATTGTGAAGCCTGTTCTTCCCCTGCGGATGTGCTGATTTCAGAGATGGTGCAGCGTGTACAGGGTGGAGTGACGGGGAAGCGGTAAGCGCAGCAAAGCCTGCAGGTGCTTTCCGGGTTGGAGCGTCCCCATGCCCAGGAGTGGCCGCAGATGGTGTTTCTGGAGCCCTGGAAGGCCGCAGGGCTTAGGGAGGAGCTGCTACAGGGTAACTTTTCGTGTGGTGTAAAAACTTGTACAAGTTAAAAGTTGTAACGTGGTTCTCAGATGTCCATAGAAACCCTGGAGGCTGCCGGGCGCGGTGGCTCACGCCTGTAATCCCAGCACTTTGGGAGGTCGAGGCGGGTGGATCACGAGGTCGAGAGATCGAGACCATCCTGGTCAACAAGGTGAAACCCCGTCTCTACTAAAAATACAAAAATTAGCTGGGCATGGTGGTGCATGCCTGTAATCCCAGCTACTCAGGGGGCTGAGGCAGGAGAATTGCCTGAACCCAGGAGGCGGAGGTTGCAGTGAGTCGAGATAGCGCCATTGCACTCCAGCCTGGGTAAGAAGAGCGAAACTCTGTCTCAAAAAAAAAAAAAAAAAAAAAAAAAAGAAACCCTGGAGGCTCCAAGGGGTGGTGGGGGGTTGGGGCCTGGGAACCTGCATGGGCTGCCTTGGCCGGTTCCAGTGCTGCCATAGTCCGGGGTGGCTCCCTGCACACCTGAGTCGTGGACTGCACAGAGCTGTGTGGCATCATTTGTCAGGAGAACAGTCTCTGCTCATGCTTTTGAGTAAGTAGCTGAGAAGCCTGGCCTCTTTGCAGGACAGATGGCAGAGGGAGTGGATATTTTCAGGAAGTAAAACTTGGAAGCGTTACTCTCGTTTCCCAGACTCTTACTGTACTCTGGCTACTGGTGTTCTGTAAGACCTGGTGCCTTTACAGCACGTGCTCCAACAGTGGGGGCTGCTGGACTTTGCCCACGTGGGAAGTGTCAGCTTGCCGCCCCCCTGGCGGGATTGGAGGGCTGGAGCCAGAGGACGGTGGTGTCCTGACAGTGGATTTTGTTAGAAGCATCCTGCTGTCACCACACTTGGGGCAGAAGAGCTCCCGGCAGCACACCGCCCACCCCCGACATTCATGGTGCAGGGAACACAGCTCCTGTGCCGCCGGCGTCAGGCCTGGGGGTGAGCTGCTGAAGACTGCAGTGAAGCCAGGCCTGCTACAACAGAGACTGTGTAGCCCAAGGACATTCGAGAAACTGCCACCAGCTAGCCCTCCAGGTCTGGTGTTCTGGAAGCCGAGGCCTGGTTCTTCCTCACTGCCGCCTCGGCCTCTGTAACCCCAGTCCGCAAGCCTTCCTGCCACACTCCTCCCAGTTTGCTTTTTCTTTCTTTTTTTCCCCCCCTTTTATTTATTTATTTATTTATTCATTCATTTATTGAAGACGGGGTTTCACCATGTTGGTCAGGCTGGTCTTTGAACCCTGACCTCAGGTGATCCGCCCGCCTTGGCCTCCAACGTGCTTGGATCACAGGCGTGAGCCACCGCACCCGGCCCCCACTTTGCTTTTTCTTTGGAACTAAGGTGCACTTGAATTTGTTCGTAGTCGGCTGCCTTTATTTTATTTTATTTTATTTTATTTTATTTTAGGTTAGTCGGCTGCCTTTTTAGGATAGACACCTCCCCGAGGCAGGTCGTTTGGTTCATTCTAGTCTTCCTGCTGGTGGCCAGGCCGTCTGGCATGGAGCAAGGTGAGGAAAACACTTGTTGAATGAAGGACACAGGCAGAGCATGCTTGAGAGAATGAGCTGAATTGCCTTTTTTTTTTTTTTTTTTTTTGGCGAGATAGAGTCTTGCTCAGTTGCCCAGGCTGGAGTCCGGTGGCACAATCTCGGCTCACTGCAACCTCAGCTTCCCCAGGTTCAAGCAATTCTCTTGCCTCAGCCTCCTGAGTAGCTGGGATTACAGGTGCATGCCACCACGCCGGGCTAAATTTTGTGTTTTTAGTAGATACAAGGTTTCACCATGTTGGCCAGATTGGTCTTGAACTCCCAACCTCAGGTGGTCCGCCTGCCTTGGCCTCCAGAGGGCTGAGGTTACAGGTGTGACCCACCACACCTGGCCCTAAGAGCTGAATTTTTTAAACCGCCCGCGCACAGTCTTCACTCTTTTTTTTTTTGAGACAGTTTTGCTCTTGTTGCCCAGGCTGGAGTGCAATGGCACGGTATCGGCTCACTGCAGTGTCCGCCCTGTGGGTTCAAGGGATTCTCCTGCCTCAGCCTCCCAAGCAGCTGGGATGATAGGCACCCACCACCACGCCTGGCTAATTTTTTGTATTTTTAGTAGAGACGGAGTTTCACCATTTTGGTCAGGCTGGTCTCAAATTCTTGACCTCAGGTGATCCGCCTGCCTCAGCCTTCCACAGTGCTGAGATTACAGGCATGAGCTACCACACTCGGCCACTTTTTTTTTCCTTTTGCCAAATTTAGCAGCAGGGGATTGTGTACCGAAGTTGACACTAATATTAAGTCAATTAACATGCACTACTATCGGACTTTTTTTTTTTTTTGAGACGCAGTCTGGCTCTGACGCCCAGGCTGGAGTGCAGTGATGGAACCACAGCGTGACCACCGGGCCTCAGCTGGTCCTCCCACCTCCGCCTCCTGAGGAGCTGGGACTACAGGTGCACGCCAACATGTGGGTTCGTATTTTAGAGATGGGGTCTCACTGGGTTGCCCAGGCTGGTCACTTTAACTCCTAGCTTCAAGCAACCCTCCTGCCTCCCCTTTCCAGTGTTGGGATTACAGATGTGCCACTGTGCCTGGCCGTATTTCACAATTCTCTTATTTTCCAGATTGGCCAACATTTACATTACTTTAAACTCCTTTCTGAGTGAAATTCCATTTATCTAAAATCTAGCAGTGAGTGCCAAGTCAATCTCTTGACTTACGCTCCGTGATCTTATTAGACACATGTCAGGCCCCCCCTCCCAAAAGACTTAGAGCGCTTAATCTCAAGCCACACAAACACGCTCCAGGATCAAATCAGAATCTCTTTAACAATTGTTTGGGTTGGAGAAAAGGCCTAGGAAGAAGCCGTAAAAGCTGACTCATTTCAAGCCCCATTACCATCAACATCTTTGTACGGATTTTCAATGAATTGGTTTGAAACTTAGGGCACATTTGTTTGAGCAAAATCTTTTTTTTTTTTTGAAACAGTCTCGCTCTGTTGCCCAGGCTGGAGTGCAGTGGCATGATCTTGGCTTACTGCAACCTCTGCCTTCTGGGTTCAAGCAATTCTCCTGCCTCAGCCTCCCGAGTAGCTGGAATTACAGTCACACGCCGCCCCGCCCAGCTAAATTAATTGCATTTCAGTAGAGATGAGTTTCACCATGTTGCCCAGGCTTGTCTTGAACTCCTGAGCTCAGGCAATCTGCCTTCAGCCTCCCAAAGTGCTAGGATTACAGGTATGAGCCCCCACACCCGACCCGGTATCTTATACATACAGGCTATCAGACTAGTTTATTGAAATTAGAAGATTGGCTGTGCCCTTTCATTAATGGAATTTCTATCAAGAGACTTTTTTTTTTTTTTTTTTTTTTTTTTGAGACACAATCTTACTGTGTCATCCAGGCTGGAGTGCAGTGGCGCAGTCTCAGCTCACTGCAACCTCTGCCTTCTGGGTTCAAGCAATTCTGCCCCAGCCTCCCGCGTAGCTGGACTACAGGCCACTCGGCTAATTTTTGTATTTTTAGTAGATGGGGGGGTTTCACCATATTGGCCAAGCTTTCTTCAACTCCTGACCTTGTGATCCGCCCCTCGGCCTCCCAAAGTGCTGGGATCACAGGTGTGAGCCACCGCGCCCAACCCGAGAGACTATTTCTCATCAGGAGATTGGGTGTTTCTTGTTTCTGTACTTTCTCAGCTGCTGTTGGTACAAATTGTATTACTCACTGAATTGTGGATAACCAGCATGGTTCATCAGGTCTGAAGTATTGTGTCTGTGTCTTCCTCAAAACGCTCTTTTCCAACTAATGCTGATCTCCGGGGCAGTGAACTAGGAGTGCAGGACTTCATCTATTTTTTTGAGATGGGAATCTTGATCTGTTTTCCAGGCTGGAGTGCAGTAGCGCAGTCTAGGCTCACTGTAACCTCTGACTCCTGGGTTCAAGCGATTCTCCTGGCTCAGCCTGGGATGGTGCACACCATCATGCCTGGTTAATTTTTATATTTTTAGTAGAGATGGGGGGGCAGGTCTCAAACTCCTGACCTCAGGTGATCCACCTGCCTCAGCCTCCCAAAGTGCTGGGATTACAGGCACCAGCTGCTGTGCCTGGTCAAATGCATGATTTTAAAGACACAGGAGATGAACCAGACAAGAGGGAGGTGAGCTGTTGAGGGCAGAGACCACATTTTTACCTGTGGATTTTACAGCCTTTAAAACAGGGACATTGTGAGAACGGGGTGTGCGTGTGTACTGTTTCTTTCACGTTTCGGTCTTTGACCAGAAAGAGTTTAGACTCAATATATGCATTTATTTAAAAATATAAATATGGAAAAATAAATAATTTAAAAGACTAGGTTGAATGTGCCTAGATTTTCACATTCAAAGACTACATTTTTTGCAAGAGATGGGATGGGACACAAAGCAAGAATGGATGGATCTAAACTTTCCAAGCAGAGCCTGGGGCTGTAGGGACGGACACGTCTGAACTCTTTAAGAGCGAGCCTGGACGTGGGGGGTATCCCTGGCCTCGGTGTTCAAGGTGGTGGCATCCTGGGCTTCCAGCAGTTTCCCGCCTAGGCTCCACACGGCTCCATTAACATCATTCTGTGGCTGTAGTTACAGAAGCGAATGGTCTAAGTCACCAAAGCCATGAGAGGCTTTCTCGCCTGCAGGCTTGGCCTGAGAAAAACGGGGAGGTGGCTTCTCACTCTGGGGGCGGGGGCAGCCCTCATGCTGGGGTGCTGGCCTCCTCGCCCCACAGCAGGCGACCTGCAGCCTAGTGAGGGGTGAACCACGTCACATCCTGGAAACTATGGCTTCCTCAGCTGGGCTCTGGAGCCAGCTCTGAGGCCTGAGGGTCACCCACTCCAGATGCAGCCTCACTCTGGACACCTGTGTGACATGGGGTGCTCAGACAAGGGAGGACCCAGCCCTTGGCGCGTGTTTGACGGGCTGGCAGGACGACACAGATGGGCGCCTGCCGCGGGTGTGGAGAGGCCGGTGCAGAGCACGGGGCCCAGTGACTCCCCAGGGCATGGGAGCTGCTGAGGACTGGATTCTGATGTCACCCAGAGAGTGGCTGGGATGTGGTGCCGCCAGGCGGGTGTAAGCCCTGTGCATCCATGCCGGCGGACCTGCCACGGACAAGGGTGGGCTCGCTCGGCTGTGAGGGGTGGCTTCCCTCCGGGGACGCAGGCACAGTCCCGTGGCCCGGCATTGGTTCTCGGGTCCCCAAAAGGCGGCCCATTCTTTGTTCTTCCCAGTGGGTTTTGCTAAGATACAACCACCCCGTATCGCAGTTTTGAGTCCTTGTTCAGCAAACTTCAAGAAACGGAACAGATGGTGCTGGAGCTCTGACTCTGCAGCGCTTGCTGCCTCTGAATTTCCTTCGAAATCCGTCTTTTAATTCCTATCAAGTACAGTTCTCTATCAAATTTGCCGGCTGCCAGGGGAATGCTGTGGAAGAGGGGGAGATATTAGGAGGGGGCTGAGCCCAGAACAGGGGATCTTGGGGGAGGGGCCCGGACACGGAGGAGGGGGCGTTAGGAGGGAGCTGAGCCTGGAGGAGGAGGAGACGTTAGGAGGGGGCTGAGCCCAGAACAGGGGGCCTGGACATGGAGGAGGGGGCATTAGGAGGGGCTGGGGACCTGAGGAGGGGGCGTTAGGAGGGGCTGGGGACCTGAGGAGGGGGCATTTGGAGGGGCTGGGGACCTGAGGAGGGGGCTGAGCCCAGAACGGGGCATTAGGAGGAGGCCGGGACATGGAGGAGGGGGCGTTAGGAGGAGGCTGAGCCTGGAGGAGGGGGCGTTAGGGGCTCCTGGGGACCCGAGGGTGGGGTGTTAAGAGGGCGCCCAGGTCTGGAGGAGGGGCTGTTAGGAGGGCGCTGGCCGTGCTGGTGCTGCCTCTAAGCACAGGAGGCCTGTTCCTGGGACAGTTGCAGGAAGGACGGGGCAGATGCTTGAGTGCTCACGGCCCTCCTCCCTCCAGCCAGCCAGGCCCAGGCCCTGAGCGGGCCTCCCCTCGCCCTCGGGATCCTCTCCCCTTCCCGCCTTCTTCCCCTTCCAGGAGTCCCACCAATCCGGACGCACAGCTCTGAAGGTCCCAGGACAAAGCCCCACGTGCAACCCCACAATGACAGCGACCCTCCTAGCTCCCGGGATGATGGCATGCGCCCCGACGTCCACCCGCGCCCCCCTCCAGGCACAGCCCCGCCCCCGGCCCGAGAGGAAGGCGGGAGGAGGACACTGACTTGTCTCGCCCGGGCCTCACTTTCACCCGGAACAGGCCGTACACGGGGCGGTGGTCGGACGTCCTGATCCCGGCGCAGGAAGAGTACCTCACTGGACAGATGTCACCCTTGTGGCGGCTTCGGTACAAGACGCGGTCCTTCGGGAAGGTTCCGGAGGCAGGAGGTCCAGTTACTTGCCAGGAGCTGTGGGGTGTGGCCCACTGACCTCCCCACTGTTCTCAAGTGCCCCCGCCGAGGGAGCCTTCTGGGACCCCCAACCCTCATTTCTGTTTTGTCGTCTGGTGTGGGGCCAGCTGGGCCAGGGCCTGTCCCTCGCCACTCAAGAGAGACCTGTGGACCCGGCTGCTCCTGCCCAGCCCTGCCTCAGTGGCTTCTCGAGGCTTCCAGCAGATGGGACCTGCCCAGAGCTGGAGCCCTGGGCCTGGCGGGAGAGTGAGGGTGTCGGTGGTGCCCCGTGTGCCAGGCCTTGGAGCTTCCGCCAGCTCACCCAGCCTTGAAAACACCTCTGGAAAGGGTGCTGTTCTCCACCAAAGGGGACTCGGGCCACGAGGCCGGGCGGGGACCCCGACACCAGGCTTCAGCTCCCGGCTGCGGGAGGTGCCTGACGTGGAGGCGCTCCGCAGGGGCGAGTGGATGGCCGCGAGCCGTGCTCACCGTGTAGGAAGGCGTCCTCTGCTTGGAGGTGCTGTCGTACGTGTCCTTCCCAATGTCAAACTTGTATGACGGGAGGAAGTGAATGTCCGGCTCCTGGAAGCCCTTGAAGATGGACCCTGCCAGGGATGGGCACTCGAAGCGGCTCAGGCCAGCTCGCTCCAGCTGTGCCCTGCAGCCCTCACCCCTGCTCACCTCCTGCCACAGCCGCCTCCACCAGCCCTCACCGCTGCTCACCTCCCGCCACAGCCGCCCCCACCAGCCCTCACCGCTGCTCACCTCCCGCCACAGCCGCCCCGCAGCCCTCACCTCTCCTCATCTCCCGGATGAGCTGGTCGTGCTCCAGCAGCGCCGGCACATCCACTGCCAGGCCCTGGCCCAGGAGGGCATCCACGGCCGCGCGCCCGCCGCTCAGGCGGAAATTGAAGTCTCCGAACCAGAACACCTGGTCGAAGCGGGTGGTGACGTCCGCTGCGGCACAGTGGGCCACGTGTGGGCATGGGCAGAGCGCCGGCAGGCCCTTCCCTTCCCCAGAACGTGGCTGGCAGTGGTTCCCGGAGGAAGGGGGTCTTGGGGACCTCAGGCGTCAGCCGGCAGGGCCGGGCCGTCTGGGTGGGATTTGAGTTGGGAAAGCTCCAGAAGGCACCTGGGGCGGCCCCAAGAGCAGGCAGCGCCCACGGCAGCTGGTGGCCACGTCTCTGCGCCTTGCCACACAGCCAGTGGAGGCAGTGGGGTGGGCAGTGGAGGACCAGGACCCAGGCTAGCTGGCCATGCTCTGAGTGGGCAGTCATCTCCCCCACACCTAACCGGGCTAAAGAACTGTGAGGGGCCATGCTGGACTTTCCGGCCCTTGATTCCCAAAGCTCAGGACGCTCCTCTGCAGCACAGCCCTAAAAACGACGGGAGCCCACGTGGACCACGGCAGCGCCACCCACCCTCAGCGTGCGCCCTCACCTGCGCTGGAACGGTAGGGGTTGGTGTCTGGCACGTTTCTGGGCAGGGCCAGGGCTTGCACGGTCCTGGTGTAGTCCAGCAGCCGCTCCGCCACCTTCCCGTCGCCAGCTGCAGGAGCAGAAATGGGGTGGGGGCCACACAGCTCCGGATGCTCGAATCTCCCTCAAGAACAGCACCTCTGGACCATGCCTGCCTGCCCACTGTTTGCAGGTGTAGGCCCACTGGGAACCTGCTGCCAGGCCCGGCCAGTGATGCTTCCGCCTTAGAGGACAGAGCTCTGGGCTCTGCACAGCACAGGCCTCATGTCGGGGTCGGCTGTGGGGTCCTCGGCATGGGTCTTTGCAAACACGGTGCCCGCCCCAGGCCCTGGATGGAAGACGAAGCCAGCGGCCGGGACCCCTGCCCCGGATGGTGTCCCGGTCAGGCTCTTCTCCCACAGCACCTGCGATGTGGGCACCTAGCAACTTACAGGTGAAGTGGGACGTGATGAAGAGGAAGGAGGTGCCGAAAAAGGTGAAGCTGACGCCCAAGGCCCCCTTGGTCTTGATCTGAGACACGATGCGTGTGGTGACCGTGGAGGACTCCACCTCTGTGGGAAGACAGCCCTCAGCTTGCCTGCGACCCTGCCAGGCCAGGGTCGTGGCGGGACCCCCCGCGCCAGTGGGGGCTCGCTGTGGAGCCCGTGTGTGACGCAGCAGCCCCCAGATCCCAGATGCAAAGTGTGACTCTCCCACCAAGGCCCGGTCAGCCGTAGAGAGGGGCTGCCACCCTCCAGCCGCGCCCACCTGAGCAGAACCAGATGAGGTCCCGACGGATAAACAGCGCCATGTAGAGCACACCGTGGGCGGCGGACGCCAGTAGCACATAGTGCGGGCCCAGCGTCTCCTGCAGGCGAGTCTCCCACTCCCGCCTACGGATGAGGACGCGCAGCTGGCTCGGGCACACGGTCCCCAGCTCCGCCACCCCAGACCTGCCACCCAGAGCCCCCTCCGGGAGCTACCAGGGAAACGCCATGGCCCGGCCTCGATGTCTTACACCGAGACACATTTGCCAAGGGGCCTGGTGGGCCAGAGTCGGGGGCCACAGGCCCCAGTTCCACTAAAGTGGCCCCCCGGGGCCCTGCTGAGACTCGGTGAGCAGACCTCCTCCTGCTGCGTGACTCAGGGGCCAGAGGGGTGAAGCCACCTCAACTCAGGGCCTGGGCTCCTTCCCGCAGAGCACCCACGTGGATGCACGGGCCCCAGGAGGCCTCGGAGCCCGGCCCCGCTCCCCGCTGTCCTGCTACTCTCAGACGACAATTTGTTCACCAGCAATAAAATGTCATTGATCTTAGACTCTCCCAGTCGTTACTGGGAAAAAAACTGGCTCGCACGTTCCAGCCAGGCTTGGAGACTGCCCGTGCGTGGCCGTGACCCAGGTCTCAGCGCCAGCAGCTGCAGGCACAGCGGCCTCCCTACCTGTCGGAGCAGCCCTCCTGGACCCCGATGGCGTACAGGTCCTGGGCGTAGTCGGCCTCGGCCGGGAGCAAGAACTCGTCCAGGCTGGGCGGGAGCTCCTGGAAGGAGGGACCACGAACACCATGGGCCGGCCGGCTCCTCCCGAAACCTGCAGGCGCCTGTGGGCCGATCCCACTGCAGAGTCCCGGCGACTCTTCAGAATGAGGGGAAACTGAGGCCAAGGCCAAGAAGGAATCTGCCTGCTTGGTCTCCAAGGCAGCCTCCAACACGCCAAACACAGCTCAGATTGGCCCTCAGCCTCAGTTTCCCTCTCCAAACAAAAATCTGTCCAATGACCACCCGTCTGACCCCCCATCACTGTGACCCCGGCCTGTGCTGCCCACCTGCCCCCAAGCCACCACAAGTGCACTGTGCTGGCCACCCTCCTGCTCACCGTGAGCAGGCGATTCTCGGCCAGGCCTAGCGCCCCACCCTCTCCCCTCCTCTCTGTAGCCACATGACCAGGGAGGTGCCCGTGGGAGCTCTGGGGGATGGGGGTCCTCACCCGCTCTCACCCTCCTGTGCCAGTCGGCAGTGGGGGGCACCTCGGGGCCCCAGGACGAGGCACAGAGCTACCGGGTCTCCCTCGCTCACATCTGCCAGCGCCCCGCACCTGCCCCCGTTCCCGCCAGGCGCCACCCCGCCCAGGCCGCCCCGTCCCGCCCGGCTCACCTTCTGGCCCTGCATGTTCCAGGTGGCCACAAAGAGTGCCACATTCCGGTCTGGGAAGTATCGGGCCAGCTCCTCCGCCCCCAACAGGGCCCCGCTGGCCAGGAGGCTGCCCTCCAGGTAGCTCCTGTGACGGAAGGAAACCAAGCTTGGGGCCAGGCACAGGACACATCCCTGGGAGGCTCGGCCAGGTCCCCAGGGACAACAGCACAACGCATGGAATGTCAGGAGCTGCCCCAGCCCTGAGCAAGGACTCTCCGCGGCCCCGCAGCACTGCTGCCTGCTCTCCAGGACAAGGCGCAACCTGGTTGCACAAACACCAAGGCGGGTTCACACCCCCTCACCACCTCCCGTGAAGAGGCACGTGAGGGTGGTGGCCGGGCTGGAATCCGGTGGCGTGATCTCGGCTCACTGCAACGTCTGCCTCCCAGATTCAAGCGATTCTTCTGCCTCGGCCTCCTGAGTTGCTGGGATTACAGGTGCATGCCACTGCACCCAGCTAATTTTTGTTTATTTATTAGAGATGGGGTTTTGGTAAGTTGGCCAGGCTGGTCTTGAACTCCTGACCTCAGGTGATCCACCCGCCTCGGCCTCACTTGTGCTTTTCATCCTAACTTGCTAAGAGAATCAGTCTTACACCTTCGTCCGCAGACAGAAACCAGTATTCCTCTGCAGGAGATGAAACGACGCAGGTGTTTCCCAAGTCACAGCTGACGGGACACCAGCGCCGATTCTGGTTACCTCCCGTGAGAACTTCTCCAACCCTGGGGCGCAGCTCACCAAGCTTCATCGGACACGATCAAATCACCTCAGCCGGGAGGAACCTTCCTACCTCACCCCAGAAACTGCTCACTCCCGGACGGGACAGCTGCGTTCACACAGTGGTCATTTGGGACAGAGGGTGTGCCTGTGGCCACTGCTGTGAAATGACCCCGGGCCGAGCAGGGGCTCCTCAGTCACCAGACTCGAAGCCCACGGCACAGGCCCACCGTGGCCACACCAGCAGCCGCGTGGTCGGTCTGCCCAGCTCCATCCAGAGTGTGGTTAGTGAACAGCAGGCCAGGGGTGGCCCTCACTGTGTCCAGCGTCCAGACACAGGCAGGGGCAGAGCTGCCTCCAACTCCCATCCAGGGCCAAGACTTCTGCATGAGGACACTCAGGCCAGCGGCAGCACTCTGAGCCGGCTCTCGGAGGAAGAGGAATTGTGGGGAAAGCGCCCCCACCTGCCCCGCCCCAGCAGCCCCCAGGCACCAGCAAAAGCCAGCAGCCATTCTGGAACAGGGCGGACCCAGCCTGTGCACGTGCGGGCCACGAGCTCAGAATGGCTTCCATTGTGTGGAACGGCAGAGAAAGAAAAAAAGAACATTTCTGGACCCATGAAAACGTGAGGTTCAAATGTGTGTCCCTAACAGCTTCACTAGCACACAGACGCCCCTTGGTCCCCACTGTCTGTGCCCCTGCCCTTGACAGTGTGCCAACCCCTATTCTAGAATGGACCTATTCTAGAACAGTCTGGAAATGGACGTTTTCAGGCAGCAGAACTGGGTTAAAGGATCTACATTAAACCACGTTTCCTGGTTGGTTGATCCAAATCTGAGACATGCCTCTCATGTCCTGTAACAGGTGTATCTATGTGAACCAAACAATTTTAAAATGTGATACGCTAAGAAATCTCACTCTTTTTTTTTTTTTTTTTGAGACGGAGTTTCGCTCTTGTTACCCAGGCTGGAGTGCAATGGCGCGATCTCGGCTCACCGCAACCTCTGCCTCCTGGGTTCAGGCAATTCTCCTGTCTCAGCCTCCTGAGTAGCTGGGATTACAGGCACGCGCCACCACGCCCAGCTAATTTTTTGTATTTTTAGTGGAGACGGGGTTTCACCATGTTGACCAGGATGGTCTCGATCTCTCGACCTCGTGATCCACCCGCCTCGGCCTCCCAAAGTGCTGGGATTACAGGCTTGAGCCACCGCGCCCGGTGAAATCTCACTCTTTACTAGGAGCCCCACAGTGAATTATTTTAACAAAACAAACAGTTTTGCACTGTATGTGATCGCAGCTGCTCCATCCATGGGCAGGAGGGGAGTGTGGTGGGGGAGCCGGAGCTGAGCTGCCTCCCTGCCGGTGGACCCAGGTGCAGGGAGGTAAGGCTACTTTCGGGGTCTGCGGTGAGCCAGACAGTGATGCCTAAAGCCACGTCCGCCTCGACCTGCAGACCCTCGGAGTGGGACCGTATTTGGAAAGGTGTCTTTGCAAATGTACTCTATCAAGGATCTTGAGATCACCGTAGATTTAGGGGGGGCAGTAAATTCAACGACTGGTGTCCCTATAAAAAGAGCCGGGAACACAGAGAGATGGGAACGAGGCCACGTAAAGATGGAGCAGAGACTGCGGCGTGCGGCCACAAGCCGAGGGCAACCGGGCCCCAGGAGCAGGGGGAGACAGGGAGGACCCTCCCCGAGCCTCTGGAGAGAGGCTGGCCTGGCTGCACCTTAGATTTTAGACTTTTGGCCTCTAGAACTGGGAGACCGTCCAGCTCTGCTGTCTCAAGCCTCCCAGTCCGTGGTCAGGGGTTACCATGGGCCCGCGGACACCAAAGCAGAAACTAGCTCTCACTTCTCCCTTCTCACACCTGCCCCGTCTCCCACCGCAGCAGACAGACGAGATGTGGGCAGTGTGCAGCGGGAAGGGGAGGAAACAAAGGTGCCGGTGCTTCTGCCAGGCCAGAGTGGGAGCATCTTGGGAGAGGCCCCCAGGCCGAGACCCCAAAACGAGACCAGGCTGGGGAGAGGTCGTGGGTTCGGCTGCAGTTCCTTCCAGCTGGAGCCCACCAAAATGTTCCCCGTGAGCAAGCAGCTGATGGAAAGTATGCCTCAGTACATCTTGGGCCTCTTGCAGCAGAAAAAACAAAGGGGGCGGGCTGGGCGCTGGGGCCCACACTTGTAATCCCAGCACTTTGGGAGGCCAAGGCTGGGAGTTCGAGACCAGCCTGGCCAACATGGCGAAATCTCGTCTCTACTACAAATACAAAATTTAGCGGGGTGTGCTGGCAGGCGCCTGTAATCCTGGATACTCGGAAGGCTGAGGCAGGAGAATCGCTTCAAGAGAGAATCACTCCCTTGAACCCAGGAGGCGGAGGCTGCAGTGAGCCAGGATCACGCCACTGTGCTCCAGCCTGGGCAAAAGAGCAGGAAACAAACAGAAAACCATCAAGAGGGCAGATCACAGGCACTGACAACATTCCCAGCCTCGGCCGGGCCGGTGCAGCGGTCACGCCTGTCATCCCAGCACTGTGGGAGGCTGAGGCGGGTGGATCATGAGGTCAAGAGTTCAAGACCAGCCTGGCCATCACGGTGAAACCCCGTCTCTACCAAAAATACAAAAATTAGCCAGGCATGGTGGTGCAGCCTGTAATTCCAGCTACTCGGGAGGCTGAGGCAGGAGAATCGCTTGAACCCGGGAGGCGGAGGCTGCAGTGAGCCGAGGTTGGGTCAGTGCACTCCAGCCTGGGTGACAGAGCAAGACTGGTCTCAAAGAACAATTCCCAAGACTAAAGAAAAACAGCCATGATTGTATGCAGGGTGCCATCTTGTCTACCTCAATACGACATCGTGCCCAGGAGTGGTTCTGAAACGCACAGGAAAAGTTCTGGGAAGTTTGGGAGAGCCGGGAAGGGCGCTCACTGCTGCGGGGAGGGGCTGGGAGACGGGGTGGCTGCGGGAGACCTGCTTCGTTTTTTCTGTTGAGGCATCTTAAACGCTGCTGCTGACGGGAAGCCCCTGGCGGGGTTCTGGCAGCCTGCGCCCCAGGCCCTACCTGCTGCGGACGTCCTTGGTGCGGATGGGGGCCAGGAGGCTGAAGGAGGATCTGGCCGAGCGAAGGGAGCAGTCATCGCAGGCCAGGGGGCTCCGGGGCCGGCCGGGGCCCAGGCTGCTGTGGGCCCGCACCAGGCGGGGCTGCGCGCGGAGCCTGTAGTCCGCAAGCTCCGGGTCCACCTTGTTTGCGGTCCTCAGGGAGTCGGAGGCGATGTCCAGGCCCAGCGCAGGCAGGGGGCGCGGGGGCGGCAGGCCGGGCAGCCTGGGCGAGCTCCCCGCCACGGTGGCGTCTCTGTGCAGGAGGTTCGGGGCGCTGCCGGCCACCCCGGAGAGGGGGTCACTCCCCGATGACGGGCTCCCCCTCTCACTGCCCGGGGCCCTGCGGGACTTGGGGATCTCCTGCAGGGACGCGCTCAGGCAGGGCGGGGAGACGCTGTGGGCGGGGGCGCCGGGGCCCTCGCTCTGCACGGAGCCCCTGGAGGGGCTGGTCCCATTCCGGGCTTCCAGGTTCTCCTGGCTGCCGCGAAAACGCCGCCTCCTCCAGCCTCTGTCGTCCAGGGACAGGGCTCGCTCCAGCCGAGGCCTGGCGGGGGGCCGCGGTGCGATGGGTGCCGCCTGGGCCGGGGGTTCCTCGCCGCTGAGCGCGGCCGGAGCGCTGCCACCCAGCGCGGGGCTCTCGGGGCTCGGGGCGTCGTGGGGGGACTCCTCGCGCGGCGCCAGCGCTCCGTCGGCGCCGGGAAGCGGTCCCCGGAGCGTCCTCCCTCCCGGCGGCTGCGGGGCCGGCTCCGAGGGCCGCAGGCTCGCCGCCTTGGACGGCATGGTCGGGCCCCCGCGGGAGGGGTCACGGCTGCCGGGTCCGGGGTCGGCGGCGCAGCGCGGGGCAGAAACGCCGCAGCGGCTCCCGCTCGGGCCGGGAGTGGTCGCGGAGGGGCCGGGGCGGCTGCCGCATGGCCCGGACCCCGGGTACCGCGGCCCTTCGGGGCTCCCCGACGCCGACCCCAGGGCGGGCCGCAGGCAGGGTGGGGGGACGGGCGGGCGGGCGCCTGTCGCGTGGGAGGCTCGACCGCGACCGGGACGCGGCTCGGAAGGAGGGGCGGGACCCAGGCCCCCCGGCCAGACCCGCAGACACCGAGGCCGAGCCCCGACCCCCTACCCGCGCCCGCGGAGGCCCGGACGCCCAGAGACGGAGTCAGCCCGGCCGGGCCCTAGCAACGACCGCCGCCGGCCCGCGCCCCGTCCCGCCCCGCCCCACGCCCGGTCCCCGCCCCGCCCACAGCGGCCCCTGGCGGCCGGAGGACCGCGCCGCGCGGGGCCCGGACAGGGCTCCCACGACCCCCCAACCTGCAGCCGGGAGGCCCGGCAGGTCCCAGCGAGGGCGGGTCCCCATCGGGACCTGGCGAGGGCCAGACACCTGCACTCACTCGCTTCTAGCAAACCAAAAGGAACTACAGGTGAAGGTGCTTGAAGGAGCGCAAAATATTTTATTCAACAATTTGCAATGTAACAATTCGCATTTAGGAAAAATAGCTGCTTCCGCCTGGGGGAAGCTTCTTGAATCAAAAGTCGTGGCAGTCGACCCGAGAACAGAGGCAGGGCCGACCGGAGGTCCCTGGAACCACACGAGCTGACCAAGGGACAGAGAGGGCTGCCCCGTCACAGGGACTGGCCTTTCTCCAAGTGACAAGGACAAATGGATCCAGCAGACGCGCCTGTGAAACATTCTGGAAAACATCCTGGGGGTCTCTGCTAAATGATCAAGTGAAACAGAAAGCCAGGAAGGGCCCGTGCTGATTCCACATTCTACCATTTCTACACTGAAATTTAAAACACCAAACGGTTTATGTTCCCCAGCAGAACCTGCAGAAATTATCTACTGATTTTTATTAGTATTTAAATCTTTTTTTGTCTCTTTAGACATGACAAGAATATGAGGAGTTTTCAGAACAGTCAGAGAAGCCTTAAAGCTTTGCATCAGGGTCGAACACAGGGCCAAGTCCACAGGGAGCTACTCTTAAGTCTCAGTGTGGCGACATCGGGGCAGAAATACCAGGTTCCACAGCTGCTGTCCCCAAAATGCTGCCGACCCCTGAGCCAGTGTCCCCTGGGTGAGAAAGTGGGTCACATGGACTGCAGCACAGAAGTGCTCACAGGAGGGGGAAGGGCAGCCGTTTAGAGAACCGCATCCAGCCTCCTTAACAGTGAGTCTGAGTGACTCCCACGCACAAAACGAAGCCCAAATCAAACGTCACAGTTGCGTTTTCACCCTGGATGGCCACCCGGAGCCATCATGTCAGACAGTCGGCTCTCTGGGCTTCTTCCCAGTAACTGGGCCACACCTGGTGGGTGGGCAGTGGCCAGCACTCTGGGTGCACAAAAATCACCCATGGTCCTTATCAGGGCACAGAAAGGAAAGTGAGGCTGGAAACTTCATCTTTGCAGCAGGAAAGAAATTCACTTCAGTAACTAGGGCCTCTCTCAAAAGCTGTGAACTGATGCTCAAAGAACCCCGCGGCTCCCCCGAGACGCTGACTGAGAACACAGTGCCCTCCACTCATTCAGTCAGGTCCAAACACGGCGAGGGTCCCGCTGGTGCAGAGCAGGGTTTGGGGTCCCACTCAGCCAGTCGCTCTTTGCTCCTGGCACCTTAAAGTAAGTGCGGGACTCGCAGCTGAGCTTGGAGAGGCAGGCCCCGGTTACTACTGAGCGTGTGGCTCTCCTGTGGCAGAGACAGCTCCAGCGTCAGGGAATGGAGCATTCTTAAATGAGCAGGAATACCACACCCTTCAATCACCCGAAATGACTAAGAAAGTCAAGTCATTCTTTTCAGCAAACACTTCTGAGTCAAAGGTTCAGTCTTTCCATCAGCATCTGCAAGGACGGTGGAATTAATTTTCAAAATAATTCATTAGGATGGGTGGGGAGCGGGAGGCGCAACGTGCGAGCAGCTCGGCATCACAGCTGTCTCCCTAGGGACGTGGTGGCGGTCACGGCGGTCAGTCGGGTTCCTGGGGAGCACAGCAGCGTCAGGGCTCCACGTGCGAGTTCACAAAGGGGCGAGCCTAGTTCAGCACCGGGTGCTTCCTCTGGCTGATCCGTCCTAGCCTTGAGCTCCCAGAGGCGCCGCAGGCCTGCAACAAGACCCACAGCACCCACCTCTGCGTCCTGCTCCCAGGGCAGGCAGCACTTGGGCGTAGGGGGGCAGGGTGCTGGTCTACAGAATGCACCACGTAGGCCACTGACACTGACAAGCTGAGGGCTTAGCATTTGTTTTTAAAAGACTCTGGTACCAAACGAGTCAGTGCCAAGCCCTGGGCTGCCTTGAAAGCACTGAATCCTTAACCATCAGTGTTTGCCGTGAGGGCAGCCAGGAGGTGCCGCAGTTTCGTCAGGGGCGTGGGACCTGGAGCTGCTCTGCAGAGCCAGAACGGGTGTCCAGAGTGCAGGGAGGGGCAGTGGCCGGGCCTGGCCTGCTGCAGGGGACGCTGGGACCCCAGGAGCATTTGGCCAGCTGATGCAGGCATCCGCTCTTGCTCCCTCACAAAGCCTCACTCAGGAAAAAGCCAAGGAATTTTTGTAAAGGCACAAACTAGCCGGGCGCGGTGGCTCAAGCCTGTAATCCCAGCACTTTGGGAGGCCGAGGCAGGCGGATCACGAGGTCGAGAGATCGAGACCATCCTGGTCAACATGGTGAAACCCCATCTCTACTAAAAATACAAAAAATTAGCTGGGCATGGTGGCGCGTGCCTGTAATCCCAGCTACTCAGGAGGCTGAGGCAGGAGAATTGCCTGAACCCAGGAGGCAGAGGCTGCGGTGAGCCGAGATCGTGCCATTGCACTCCAGCCTGGGCAACAAGAGCAAAACTCCGTCTCAAAAAAAAAAAAAAAAAAAAAAAAAAAGGCACAAACTAGACAACAGGGAGCAGGACAATCCCAAAATCAACTACTCTGGACACCCAGAAGCAGGCGATGGCCAGCAGCAGCTTGAGGGGCCTCGTCATAAAGGACCAGGATGAGATCTCTGGGCCCCAGCCCAGGAAGCCTGTGGTCAAGAGCGTGTGAGGCCCAGAGGGTGGGCTGGGGTGACAATGGGGCTGAATCCCAAGACGCCCCGGCCTCGGTCCCCACTCAGTTCCCCACCCCCAGCCCCAGACTGGCTGCCAGTCTACACTCCACAGGCAAGGGAGCGGGGAGACGAGGCTGAGGGAGGGAAACCACGGGAAACATTCCCAACACTCTCCAGCTGAAGGGGGCTGAGGGTGTGGAAGCCTGCTAGTCCCAGGGGACAGGGCCCTGAGAGGGCTGCAGGGAGAACGGCCCTAGGGTCTCAGCAGCCGTGGGCACCAGGAAACCTAAGAGCACCTACAATTCTGAAGAAAACAACACGGGCCCAAGAATTCTACCCGCCGACCAACCCGCCAGAGGGGCCACGGGAGAAAGGTGGCTTCAGACATGGAAGGCTTCTCCCAAGTCACCCCAGGACCTTTTGTCAAGAAACTACTAGGAAAAAGAAATAAAAATCATACAGGCTGGGCACAGTGGCTCACGCCTGCAACTCTGGGAGGCCGAGGTGGGCAGATCACAAGGTCAGGAGATTGAGACCATCCTCGCCAACATGGTGAAACCCCATCTGTACTAAAAATACAAAAAGCAGTAGGGTGTGGTGGCGACTGCCTGTAGTCCCAGCTACTCAGGAGGCTGAGGCAGGAGAATCTCTTGAATCCAGGCGGTAGAGGATGCAGTGAGCCGTGATTGCGCCACTGCCCTCTAGCCTGGGTGACAGTGAGACTGCCTCAAAGAAAAAAAAAGAGACTCCAGGGAAGAAAGGTGCCGTTCACTGAGCAGCAGGGCCAGGAAGTCAGCGGTATGTCAGGGTTGTGTGGGGAAAGGCAAGGGCACTCACCTGTGCCAGCTGAGCAGGGTTGTAGAAGGGCACGGGCCCGCCGGGAGGGCCCCCTGCAGCAGGGAGGTCACCAGGAGCCTGAGAAGCACAGAGAGTCGCCTCAGTAGGGCTGCGCTGCACAGCAGCTGGCATCTCAACTGCAGATACAGATACCACCTCTACGCAGGATTTACAGGACTTTTAAAGAAGCTACGGAAGCAAGTCAGAGACACTTCTTGCGACACCGGATTTAGTTACTTAATGGTTCATGGAAAAATGGCAAACATAAAGCAACGTGCAGAGCCAATGTCTGAAGCACCGCGACAGGCAATGGGAAGGCGCGCTGAGCAGGCGAGGGTTAGGAGGCGCGGGTGCCGCAGATCTCAGGCTCCAGCGGTGACAGGGCTCTCCTGCGCAGGTGGAAGGGTTGCGGCTGGTGCTGCGACAGGCACACCCGCAAATGCTCCTTCACCTCCCTCCCACACTGGCTGCAGGACTCACCCTGGCCTCAGACCAACCTTCTCGTGCTTGATCAGAAAGAAGAAACCTTCCTTCCAAAGGAGAGCACACTGATCCAACAAGCACTCCCAGATCGAGGTCACACCCCCAGCCCATCATTGGAAAAGCCAGTTCGGAAGGAGAAAAATGACAGAACCTGCTCGTTCACTAGGACACTCGGGCTCAGTCCAGTCGCCTGGTGCATGTGGATACTGAACAGCAACCCCTCTTTAAGGCCATTTAAAGGAACACTGCTATAATCCCAGCATTCTGGGAGGCTGAGGTGGGCAGATCACCTGAGGTTGGGAGTTCGAGACCAGCCTGACCAACATGGAGAAACACCATCTCTACTAAAAATACACAATTAGCCAGGCGTGGAGGCACGTGCCTGTAATCCCAGCTACTCAGGAGGCTGGGGCAGGAGAATTGCTTGAACCCGGGAGGCGGAGGTTGCGGTGAGCTGAGATTGTGCCACCGCACTCCAGCCTGGGCAGAAAGCGAAAATCTGTCTCAAAAATAAAAAAATCAGAAAAACAGAACACCGCACTCCCGGTCACTTGACGCTCAGGGGACAACGGGCGAGGTTAGTGGCAAAGCGCATGCCGCGAACCAGCACCGCGTGCTCAGGGACACAGGCGGCACACGTG